ATGCTGCTTGGCCTGCTGTGTTCATCCAGCCCTGCACCTTGTTGTCTCGGATTCACCAGCATCTGCAGTTCCTACTATCTCTGCATTCAGACCTAGATTGAAAGCCATAGACTCTGGGGTGACCATGATTCTTTTGTTCAATACTTTTGATATCACTGCCGTTAGCATTCCCTCTACCTGTTGACAATAAATTTTAATGTGTAAAGTATGTGAAGGATACAAATTCTTTGAAATATTTTGGTACCTCCAAGTTTGGAAATACAAATACAAGGCTTTGTGCTTTTCATCTCAGGCCATGACTTTCAGCAAAGTCCTCCAGAGTGATGCTTATGAAGAGATAGAGGACAAAACGGTGATGGCTATGGGTATCCTAAACACAATAGACACCATCTTGACTGTCGTGGAGGCTCACAAGGAGGTCAGTGATCGTTTTGTTTGGGCTGAGAGCATTTACTCGTGAGATGGTTAGGTTCTTCATATTCTCAAAACAACATAGAAGTCAGGTAAGTGATACGCACAGTAGAAAAAAAGAGATGAGGCCTTTGACGTAACTTTGGCACTTTTATTTTGTGTAGTGAAGTTGGTGAACAATGTATTTGTTTCAAGCAGGTAGAGCACACCGGCCAAGTTTATGCTGGTGCGGGGAGGGAATGGATGATCCCTGAGTATCAGTAAGAGAGGAATTTGACAGCACTGTAATTTTGAGTGGCAGTGGGGAATAAGGAAGAAATAAGAGAACCCTGTGAGAAGGTGTAAGTTCAAGATGGGGAGATGAAGTAGACAAAATAAATGAAAAGTATGGGGTGACGAGGATAGGCTTAACATGGTAGTTACACATACAACCAGTAGATGTGAAGTTATTAGTGCACACCTTGCAGAAAGTTATACGTCACTAAATTTAATTGAAGGAAATGGTCCCAAATTCAGCAACCTGTTTATCCTTCTGGAAGTGAACGTTTGGGAGTTTCTCACTGCTTGATGATCAAGCGTCCATGATCAGATAGTGCAATTTCAAAGCAGTTTCTCTTTCTTCATACAATAAGCTTGTGACTGCTCAGTGACTAAATAAGAGTTTCGGAAACATTACCAGTCTACCAGTTTGCCTTCAAGACAAAGCACAGTTGTGTTCCCTACAGTGCATTGTTACTCTCTGCAGCAGATGTCTTTCTGTTGCCAATTCTCTTTTTATATATTTACCAGTTAATCATGCCCAGTTATCTTCTGAACATCTGTCCCCACCGTACCCCACACCTTCCACCTTGCTCTATTTACTTGTGCTGTACATTCTGTTTGCAGGGAGGAATTGGTCAACATTCATTCTTACTTTTCTCGTGTGCTTAATGTAATCACACTTCCCAATGCACTTTTACAAGTGTTATGAAACAAAAAAATCCAAACCCGCCAGTGGCCCAAGTCAATCTACTTATTTGCCTTTGTGTGATAGAAGCATGTGGCTCAGAAAGCACCTCTGAAAATAGAGAGAAAAATGAAATCTACAGTTACAAGAAAAACTTCTGTCTTTTATAGAGCGAGGAGCTTGGTCAAATGATCTTTCCTAGTTCCCAGCTTTTCATGGACATTAATGGACTTTGAGCAATTCTTTTTCACTATTTTCATGAATTTCTTTTTTAAAGTTCAATTACTGGATGTGGGTGTTGCTGACTAAGCCAGTATTTATTGGCCGTCACCAGTTGTCCTGTTAGTGAGCTGTATTCTTCAACTGCTGTAATCCTTGGGGTGTAAAGTACACTGTCAATTCTAGTAGGGAAGGGGGGGGTCCAGTATTTTGACCTGCGATAATAAGGGAGTAGTGATTATATCTCCAAGTCAGGATGGTGTCTGGCTTGGTAGGGAACTTTCATGTATGCAGATGCTGCCCATGTCCTCCTAGAATTGGAGGTTTTGGTTTTAAGTAAGTCTGTCAAAGGACCAATGATGAGCACATCTTCTGGATGATAAACTGGTAGTCTTGAATGTTGTTGGAGCTGCACTAATTCAGACAAATGGGGACTATCATGTCACATTCTTGCCCTGTGCCTTGTGCCTTGTAGATGATGATCAGGAATTGGGGAGTCAGAGCTGAGTTACTCTCCATAGAATTCCTAGCCTCTGAGCTACTCTTGTAGTCACAATATTTATGTGGCTGGTCCAGTCCAGTTTCTGGTCAGTTTTAACCCCAAGATATTGATAATGGGGGATTCAGTGATGGTAGTGTCACAGAATACAAAGGGGCAATAGTTAGATTCTCTTGTTTGATATGGTCATTGCCTGGCACCTGTGTGGCCAAATGCTGCTTGCTGCCTATCAGCGCAAGTCTGCATAATGTCCAGCTCTGGCTGCATTTGAATATGAGCTGCTTCACTATCTGGTTTTGTTTTGCTCAGTCCTTGTTGCTCAATGTAAAATGAAATAGCTTGCTGCTTTTGTAGTTTTAAAAGGGTGTGTTGTAATTATGTCATTCTAAAGGTTTACCAGTTAATTCATTGTGGGTGTTACAGCAGTCTCAACATTTTGTACTGCAACTCGGATGCTGTTCCAGCAAGAGATGAGGCTTTTTTGTGAGATTTTTAAGGAGCCTCTTGAAGGTTTGATGCTGAAACAAGCTGCTTCATTGTACTCTTAATTGTGAGAAATTTTGTCCCTATTCATGAAGACTTGTGTCTTCTTCAATTAGAGATAAGAGAAGGTAAAACTTCTGGTAGTTGTATTCAGAAATTGGATCTTTCTATTGCTTGCTCATCTCAATTGCTACCTATTTATCCCAGAGTAACAGTACGCATCTTTTTCCTCCTCCATTTCCACCCTATCCTCCAGATTACACTGCAGCTCGAGGGCATCTGTTTGCAGGTCATTGGACTAGTACTTCAGAAACACGTTATAGGTACAGTCTATATCTGTTGTTTGAACTTTTACTATTTAAAATGCAATAGGGCCCTGTTAAAGTTGTACAAGTGTTAGCATTTCTGTAATTGTCAGTGCACAAACACCTAACAGAATACTAAGAAAGGATTTACATTTACATGGGAGCCATTTACAATCTTAGAATGGCCAAAGTAATTTACAGCTAATGAAATTGTAATAGATAATTATTGAAGTATTGATACTGCTATATTATAGAAAAACACAGGAGCTGTTTTGCACACAGCTAGGTCCCATAGTCAGCAAAGAAATAAATAATCTGATCTATTTTTAGGGCATGTTGCTTGAGGGATGAATATTGGCGAAGACGTTGGGAGAACTCCCCTGCTTTTCTTTGAAATAGTGCCTTGAGATCTTTTACATCCATGAAAGACCAAATGGGCCTTAGTTTTACATCCTACCAGAAAGCCAATATCTCTGATGATGCAGCTATCCTCCTGTAGTGGACTGGGTGTCAATGAAATTTATGTAATCAGATGTGGGACAGGAGTGCAACCTCTGAGCCATGGCTGACATATGTTAATATTGACTATTTAACGTGATTTTTTTTTGCCATTCCTCAATATATTGGGCATCTCTGACATGTCACTATTAAGTGAATGTTAGATTGCTTATGCATTCCTTTCGTAACTGCTATACTAAAATGGCCTGTAATCTTGCTAGTTTTTATTCTGATGTTACTTTTACTCCTGATGAAAGTTTAACAGTTTTTCCTTTATTTGCGATTTCTTAAACAGTAATCCCTGCTTTCTTTCTGCTCCAGAATTCTATGAAGAGGTTCTGTCCCTTGCATATAGCTTAACGTGTCAAGTCATATCACCTAATATGTGGCAACTTCTTGGCATTCTTTATGAAGTCCTTCAGCAAGACTGCTTTGAATATTTCACAGGTATTCCTAGTTTTTCCTTTGAATGTACTTCAAAAAATACACATTGCAACCGCAGTGTTTGGCTTCAAATGCACAATTTATCTTTTGATGATGACATCAAATATGGTATATCTGTGCAACAGAGAATTCAAATTCAAGGTAATCCCACATGACTAAACTTGATAAAATTTATTAAGTTGACTAATTTTTTTTAAGCAGATTTGAAACCTTTTTGGCTGCATCTCTTTGCTGTGGCAACTTACTTGAGTGTAAAAGCAGACATAAGCTAATAAATCAGCAAAACAACCCATTCATTATCATTGCTGTTCTAAACGTCTTGCTTACAGACTAATATAAATGTCAGAAAAGCAATATTGCTGGCTTAGCCTGCACTGAGGTCTGTACAGGGCTTGATTAAAGACCATGAGAAAAATCATCTGAAATTGTGCCATGAAGATTTCGGTACAAAGTCAGTCTGAATGTAAATGAGTTATGAGAATGATATCTTAAGAGAGGGTTTGATGAATTCTGCAGTAATAGGTTGTTGATAAAATTGATGTGATTTAATTGTTCCAGCGTGTAACCAGATCATTTAACACATTGACTTTCACGTGCTGTTCATGTCGTTTGCCTAAGCCTGAAATTGTTGCTAAAAGTTTGCACAATCCCACTGCTACAAAAAGGATCAGTGAACTATATTTGAACTTGATGGAGACATATTTATCTCTCAAATATAAAAAGGATTAGACTATTAAATTTTCAGACTGCATTTAGCATCTATTTAAGAAATCATATCTTGAATAAAGTAGATACTCTGTCCAAAGTAAAAGAAAAGGTCTCTCTAGGCTGAATAGGAAGTGTTCTGTGTTTGATTATTACCTTAACCATACTGGTTAGCTGAATGGCAAAACCATACTTATTGGTTGGGTACGAAGAGGTTGCAAGTTGGCTAAACATGCGGTCACAGTACTTCCTCAACAGTACAATTACCGATTTGAATGATAAAGAAGCCCCACAGAAAAGTGCATATTTTAAAAGGCTCAAACTTTAAAACATATATAAATGTCCAAATTAATGCTGTCAAAGTCATTGCAGTTGCCATTTTTATCTCTATCCCACTAAAAGATATAGCTCTATTAATAAACATTTTGATTAGAAATGTGTAGTTTTAGCTAAAGTTATTAACCTCGCCCATTTTTTCCTCAAACTTGTCAATATTTTGTCCTCAGTGACACAGAGTCATAGAGATATACAGCATGGAAACAGACTCGTTCATGCCAACCAGATATCCTAAATTAACCTAGTTCCATTTGCCAGCATTTGGCCCATGTCCCTCTTGAACCATTCCTGTTCATATACCCATCCAAATGCCTTTTCAATATTGTAATCGTACCAGCCTCCACCACTTCATGTGGCTGCTCATTCCATACACGCACCCTCTGCATGAAAAAGTTGCCCCTTAGATCCCTTTTAAATCTTTCCCCCCTCACTTTAAACCTATGCCTCTAGTTTTAGACTGCCTCACCCCTGGGAAAAGACTTTGTCTGTTTACCCTATCCATACCCCTCATGATTTTATAAACCTCTATAAAGTCACCTCAGCCTCTGACACTCCAGGGAAAATCTATTCAGCCTCTCTCTATAGCTCAAACCCTTCAACCCTGGCAACATCCTTGTAAATCTTTTCTGAACCCTTTCAAGTTTCACAACATCCTTCCAATAGCAGGGCGACCTGAATTGGATGCAGTATTCCACTAGTGACCTAACCAAACGCCTTCTTCACTATGCTATCTACCTGCGACTCCACTTTTAAGGAACTATGAACCTGCACTTCGAGGTATCTTTGTTCAGCAACAGTCCCCACAATGTTACCATTAAGTGTATAAGTCCTACCCTGATTTGCCTCTTCAAAATGCAGCTCACATTTATCTAAATTAAACTCCATCTGCCACTCCTCAGCTCATTGGCCCATCTAATCAAGATCCCATTGTACTTTCAGATAACTTTCTTCGCTGTCCACTACACCTTCAATTTAGGTGTCATCTGCAAACTTACTAACCATACCTCCTCTGTTCACATCCAAATCATTTATATAAATGACAAAAAGCAGTGGACCCAGCACCAATCCTTGTGGCACACCACTGGTCACAGACCTCCAGTCTGAAAAGATTTTGGGTAATCCAAGATGGAGGGTGGGAAAAAGTCATGGCTATAAAAGCTGCTCCTTTCTTGAGGTATTTTCAGTGTTGGAGCTGATTTCCATGAATTCTAAGAGCGGTAATTACTGTTTCATAAGATGTTGCATTGTTTCGGAACTTTGGGGAAAAATATCAAAACAACGGCACTTTAAAAGGAGGAAGGGAGACAAAGGTAGTGATCACAAGGGAAGTGATTCAAATGGAGAAAGAGACCTGCACTGCTGTCTGATCCAGCAGTCACCTGCACAGCTGCTTCCTTTGCTGTTTGGTTTCAAGTATCTCTCGACATCAGACTTTGTTCTAAGAAAAATGAACAAACAGCGAAATTCACAGCTGACCTTGGAGAGAAACCTGTGTGGGGAAGCTCACAGCAGGGGAGCAGTTAAGTGGCTAGTTTTAAAGTATAACCTTACTTGTTTTTGTAAATCTACAATAGTGAATAGAGTGGGTTCATTTTTTTGATTATATGTTTTTATTAAGATCTGTCTCTTGATTAAATTTTGAAAATATAAAAACATAGGTACTAAGCTAGCCTGGAACTGCTTTAGAGCAGTAAGACTGGGCTATTTTCTGAGTCTGTAGATTGTTATGGTGTAAAGATGGCCTTTAGTAGAGTGATGTGCTCTTGCTGTTGGATGTGTGGGATTGGGGAGAGTTTTCATGTTACTGATGATTATGTCTGTAGGAAGTGTGTTTGGTTGCGAATCCTATTGGATTGCATGGATTGGCTGGAGCAGCAGTTAGAATCCATGAGGAATTTACAGAAGCTGGGGGTGTGTGATGGATGGTAGCTGCAGGGAGTGAGATAAACTGAAGATACAGTCAGGTAGATGGATAACCTCAAGGAAAGGAAGGGGAGGGAGGCAACAAGTGCAGGAGTCTCCTGTGGCTATCCCCATCTCAAACAAGTATGCTGTTTTGGAAAATGTAGGGGGTGATGGACTGTCAGGGGAATGTAGCACTGATAGCCAGATTTCTGGTACTGAAATTGGCTCTAATGTATCAAGAAGTACGCCAAGTTCCAAGTGGTCAGTTGTGATATGGGACTCTCTAGTGAGAATGACGTCTCTGCGGCTGACAGTGAGACATCAGAATAGTCTCTGGTGCCAGGCTCAAGGATATTTCGGAGAGGGAGCAGAATATTCTCAGAGGGGAGAAGAACCAGCAGGAGGTCGATGTACACGTTGGAACTAACGACATAGGAAAAGAAAACAATGGGATTCTGAGGAGAGAATATGGGAAGTTAGGCAGGAATTTAAAAAGTAGGTCTTTGAGGGTAGTAATATCTGGATTACTCCAGGTGCCATGAGCTAGTGAGGGTAGGAATAGGAGAACAGAGCAGATGAATGCGTAGCTGAGCAGCTGCTGCAGGGGAGAAGGATTCACATTTTTGGATCATTGGATCCAAATTGAATTGGGGAGGTGATGGCCTAGTGGTATTATGGCTGGACTGTAAATCCAGAGACCCAGATAATGTTCTGGGGACCCAGGTTCGAATCCCGCCATGGCAAATGGTGGAATTTGAATTCAATAAAAAAAATCTGGAATTAAGAATCCAATGATGACCATGAATTCATTATCAATTGTCAGAAAAACCCATCTCGTTCACTAATGTCCTTTAGGGAAGGAAACTGCCATCCTTACCTGGTCTGGCCTACATGTGACTCCAGATCCACAGCAGTGTGGTTGACTCTTTGCCTTCTGGGCAATTAGGGATGGGCAATAATTGCCAACTGGCCAGGCACTCCCTCATCCCATTAATGAATAAAGGAATAATTGAGGAAAGACCTGTATCAGAAGGACAGATTGCACCTGAATTTGAAGGGACTAAGATACTGGCGGGGAGATTTGCTAGAACTGCTCAGGAGGATTTAAAGTAGTTGGGGTTGGGGAGTGGGTGGGTTTGTGGTGGTGGGAGGGGGCTGGGGGAGTGTGTGGGACCCCAGGAGGTAGTGAGAAAAGAGATCAGTCTGAGACTGATGCATTTGGGAAAAGGAGGGAGTCAAACAGTCAGGGCAGATAGGAACAAAGCAGGGAATGAGGCAGGACTGATAAATTAAACTGCCTTATTTCAATGTGAGAGGCCTGACAGGCAGATGAATTCAGGGAATTGTTGGGAACATGGGACTGGAATGTCATAGCAATTGCAGAGATATGGCTCAGGGATGGATAGGACTGGTAACTTAACATTCCAGGGTATAGATGCTATAGGAAGGGGGGCAAGAGAGGAGGAGAAGTGGTGTTTTTGATGAAGGATAACATTATGGCTGTACTTTGGGGGGGTTTTCCTGGGAATACATCCAAGGAAGTTATTTGCGTGGAACTGAGAAGTAAGAAAGGAATGATCACCTTACTGGGATTGTACTAAATACCCCACCCCCTCCCCCATCAAATAGTCAGCGGGAAATTGAGAAACAGATTTGTAAGGAGATCTGTTATCTGTAAGAATGATAGGGGATTTTAAAACGTAGCCTGGGACTGCCATAGTGTTAACGGCTTGGATAGAGAGGAATTTAAGTGTGTACAAGAAAATTTTCTTAGGCAGTATGTGGATGTACCTGCTAGAGAAGGTGCAAAACCTGACCTACTCTTGGGAAATAAGGCAGGGCAGGTGACTGGGGTGTCAGTGGGGGAGCACTTTGGGGCCAGTGATCATAATTCTATTCATCTTAAAATAGTGATGGAAAGGGATAGACCGAAGTTCTAAATTGGAGGAAGGCCAATTTTGGCGGTATTTGGTAAGAACTTTCAAATGTTGATTGGGGGTGGATGTTCGCAGGTAATGGAAAATGAGAAGCCTTCAAAAATGAGACAACAAGAGCCT